GCTAGGTGTCTCCCACACATAAGTTCAAGTTTCCAGGCACCAGGATGTCCCTACAGGGTCCAGTCTTAAGGTTCATCCTTCACATAATATGTGAGCAAAACGGTCCCCGCACGCATCCCACATATGATAGGAAATCCTGCAGCCCCGACAAGCCCTGAAGAGACTTATGTTTCTCCTCAATATCATTCCTATCCAGTTTCTCCTTTGGCTGAGTCTCAGTCTCACTGGGGTCTTGCCTCCTGTCAGCAGAACCTTCTCTCTCCCCTGAGCTAACCCAAAGAACTGTGCAGCCTCTCCTTCGATTCCCCAAAGCTCCCGGGAGTGCAACGCCGTCCCACATGAGTGAGTTTCACTGGAGGTTTGAGGATAACAAGAGTGGTCAGACGGCCCAGCACATGACTGAAAATCAAAGCCACGCTCTTGAGCCTCAGCCATTCCTGGTAAGGTTCACTGGCCGTGGCTCATATTCAAGCCTATCTGTTCCCACCACATTGCTCAGGCTCCCCGTCTCTCAAAGCCCTTCTTCCATCTCTTCTCCTATATCTTGGGGAGACACCCATCATCTTGGATGTCTTCAGCTGAATTCACCAAGAAGGAGACCTGACGTAAGGATGTGAGTGCAAGTCATTGTTTTGGAGGTGCTCCCAGGAAGCATGGGTCGGGGAACAGGGAAGACAGAAGGGAAGGGGAGGGAAGAGAAAAAGAGGGAAGAAGATGGGGAGGGAGGGAAGAGAAAGGGAAAGGGAAAGGAAGAAAATGAGGGGAGGGGAAAGGGGGGAGGGGAGGGGGAGGGAAAAAGAGAGAGAAGAGGGAAGGGGAGGGGAAGGGATGGGAAGAGAGGAGAAGGGAGAGGAAGAGGGGAAGGGAGACAGAAAAGGAAGGGGAGGGGGAGGAGAGGGGAGGGGAGGGGAGGGGAAGGGAGAAAAGGAAGGGGTTTGGGAAGGGGAATGGAGCCAATACAGAGTACTGATGAGCCATCACTGTGGGCAACAGGGGCTCCATTTCACTGGAACCTCTGTGAGACGGTGTGGAACACATCTCAGAGTCAGCCCACCCAAGGGTCAAAGAAGCTGTGTTTAGCCTCCAGCTTCCATCCACTATTGGCTGAAGGCTGCTGCCAGTGGCAGTGACTCCCTGGCAGGTCCAACCCACCTCTTGGGCAGGCTCTGAGAAAGCCCTCCTTGGGAGGCTTCGGAACCCGCAGAGGCTGAGCTTGGAGGGCTGGGGCACAAGGGCAGCGGCAGCTCCTGCTCCAGTGGAACGGGCAGGGCTGCTCTGCCTCGCCACAGCCTGCTGAGCCCATGCCCTTGGAGGAGGGGAGGCATTTTTTCCCTCAAAAAGCAGCCATCAGGCATGTGGCTAAACAAAGGACAACCCACCCTGGAGAAAAATTACGCCTCTTTCCCAAAAGACAAAGGGTCTGCACACAGCGGTGGTTTGAACAAAGCAGTTGCTTCTGTATACCATGAGGTAGATCCTGTTATTACCCCCACTTCATAAATCAAGTAACTGAGGCGGAGGGAGGCAGTGAGGGGGTAACAAAAGCCAAGATTCGAACTCTGGTCTTCCTAATGGGACAACCACACGAACTCTCAACTGCTCTGCGGGGCCTGGGAGCAGGGCTTGGGTTAGGTGTACGAATGCACAAAGCTTTGCCATTTATAATCACATCCTTCTCCCCCATCCTGTGTGCCGGGGCGGGGGGGCTGCTCTTGTTGTGACCATTTTACTGAAGAGGAACCAGAGGCATGGACAGATTTAAGTCATGTGCCCAAGTTCCCATAGACTTGAACCACGTCTGTCTGAGAGCAAGTTGTTGAAACCACCCCCTTTAACATCCTTGAAACGCAAGGTTCCAAGGGCTGATGGCTCCAGGCGAATCCATCCCCAACATCAAAGGCTGCAGCTGCACCAGAGGGGGAACCAGAGAGAGGCGTGATCTTCTGAGACAACAGGCAGGGTGATATCCTAAGTGTCCCCATCGTCACCACCATCATTCCCATCATCCACGGGTGGCAGGCACCGCCCAGCCTTCTGTTGTTGAGTAATCAGGAGATTCACAGAAGGAAATTGGATCTGAAGAAGAGATGGCCATGAGCCAAGAGGAGGGGCTTAGAGTGGTGAAGAGCACACGCCGCCGCCTAGGTCTGAATCCCAGCTCTGACATCTGCCAGCTGTGTGAGCTTGGGCAAAGTACGTAAGTGCTCAGTGCCTCAGTTTCCCCATCTATAAAACAGATAATGCCATCTATCTCAAGGGTTGCGGGGAGACTATGTATAGAGAGAGGCTAGAATGCAGGGTGTGCCACGGAAATATCAGCAATTATTAAATTGGTGTTCAGGGTAGACTCCAGTCCCTTTGGGAATCGTGAGAGCTAAGCAGGGAATCTGAGGCAGAAGATAAGTCATATGGAGTTAACCTGAGGCAAAAGTTGAGAGGAGAATGGCTGGGACCTCCCCAGGCACGTGGTTAAGAGCAGCGTAACTAACACAGATCTCATGTCTAGTGAGACAGGCCTCCTCAAGCCCGCCCTCCCCAAGGGCGCCCCTGGATTGAGGACTGAACATGGATGTCCTGTGGGTGACCGGCCTCTGTAGGTAGAAGTGGAAGCGTAGCCAAGAGTCTGGCCTTTGGAATGTGCTAGAGCCAGACCTGACTCCGAGCTCTACCGCAAGTTACTGTGCTGTTACACCTGTGAAACGAGAACGGCCAAGGCTGCCTCTGAGGGTTGACCAGTAGGCGGTCCCGGTGGCCACTCTCCCCTTGAAGTCCTCTCCTCTGACTGCTCCCTTCCAGACTCCAGCATGGCCTCTTCTTCATGCCCCGCCTCTCAATACGTCGTCCCTGATGGCGCTGTCCTGGGCCCTCCCCACTTCTTGGTCTCACACCATCGCTCTGAAATCGCGTCCACCCCACGGCTTCAGTCACCACCTGCAGCACAGCTCCCTCCAAGTCTGCCTTCTCTGCACACACTTCCGTCTATCCCGAGCTCCAGATCCTCCTTCCAACTGCCCACTGGACATCTCCACCTCCCAAGCAAACTCAACATATTCAAAACCAACTCATCAGCCAGGTGCAGTGGCTCAGGCCTGTAATCCCAGCACTTTGGGAGGCCGAGGCAGGCGGATCACCTGAGGACGGGAGTTCAAGACCAGCCTGACCAAGATGGAGAAACCTCCTCTCTATTAAAAATACAAAATTAGCCAGGTGTGGTGGCGCATGCCTGTAATCCCAGCTACTCGGGAGGCTGAGGCAGGAGAATTGCCTGAACCCAGGAGGCAGAGTTTGCAGTGAGCTGAGATTGCACCGTTGCACTCCAGCCTGGGCAACAAAAGCGAAACTCCATCTCAAAAATAATAATAATAATAATAACTCATCATCTTTTTTCCAACCTGCTCCTCCCATCTCAATAAACAGCATCACCTTCCACTTAGCCACCAGGGCTAAAACTGCACTCCATCTTCCACCACTTCCTCTCCCTTAGCCAAGAAACTCTCTCCAATCCATCCACTGCCTTAGACCAGGCCACCGTCACCTCTTGCCTCCGTCTGCATCCATCCTTCATCCTGCAGCCAGTGCAATCTTCTCAAAACACAAATGTGAATGGCATCTCCCAGCTCACACTCTTTCACAACTCCCCAGTGTCCTCAGGATCAAGGCCAAGCTTCTGAGGCTGGAATGCGTGATTTTCACCAACTAGGTTCTCCCTCTCTTGCTGGCCTCATCTTTTACCTCCCCGTACAGATACACCCTGGAGCCAGGATTTCAGCTTGGCTGCTCCCAGGATATGCCCACCCTACACCCTGCCAGGTAGGGCCAGGTCTGAGTCATTCTGCATCTTCCTCAGCCAGCAGGGAGAATGAGTAACCTGCATTGTGTCTGTCTAGGTGAGAGGGTTTATGAAGACCGGGAGGCATAGGGGTGGTGACTGGTGGCACAGATGTGGGTTCTGTAGGATGTAGTCCTGGCACTTTGTCTTGAAGGAGGGAGGCTGGCGCAGGAAGGACAGGTGCTGTCAGCAAGAATGCCACCTCCCTCTCGTGACCTTTACCAAAGACATTTTCTCTGAATGTCAGGTTCATTAGACACAGGATGGGGGGTGGAGGAATTGCTGTAAAGCTGAATGAGAGAGAGGACGGACAGACAGACAGACAGATGTTACCTGGATTGTGATAAACCAGCCTGCAGGGTGAGGAGACAGCCCCTCTACAGGCACATCCCTCCTCCATTCGAGGGACAGAACCATGCTCATCCTCCTCTGACTGAAGGTCTCTGGGTCAGGGCTATGTCTCTCCTTCAGAATGGAGTTTCTGGCCAGGTGCAGTGGCTCATACCTGTAATCCCAGCACATTGGGAGGCCGAGGTGGGCAGATCACCTGAGGTCAGGAATTTGAGACTAGCCTGACCAACATGGAGAAACCCCGTCTCTACTAAAAATACAAAAAAATTAGCCAGGCGTGGTGGTGCATGCCTGTAATCCCAGCTACTCAGGAAGCTGAGGCAGGAGAATCAGTTGAACCCGGGAGGCAGAAGTTGCAGTGAGCCGAGATCACACCATTGCACTCCAGCCTAGGCAACAAGAGTGAAACTCCGTCTCAAAAACAAGTAGAGTAGAGTTTCCACCACCTCCCTTCATGTCCATATTGTTCCTGACCCAGGGTCTCAGTCCACAGTGCTCACCAGCTGATCCATTAAGATTTGGTGTCGTGATTCTCAGGAGGGGCAGCTACACTTACCCCACCACCCGGCCACTCCCTGGGACATTCAAAATAGGTCCCTGGACCTGAAGCATCTTTTCCTGCCCAACCCTCTTTCTCTAGCCCAGTCCATCAGCTGAGGATCTGTGTGTCTGACTCAGAAACCCACTCCAGGTTCACCTCATGTTATACATTAGAGAAATAAATCAGATATTTGCCCCACTCTCAAGGAGCTCCTAGTCTCATGAGGAGGACACACAGATATATAAATATTACCAAGTGGTGGGCTCGGTGTCATGACACAAACAGGTGCAAGGTAGAGATGTGCTGCAGAAGAGAGTCCCTGTAGGTGGAGAGTCATGCAGGGTTTCCTGTGACAAGGTAACATCTGAGCTGGGCTTTGAAGGATGAATAGGAGTTTGTCACTTTGTGTGTTCTTTCTAGGCGACTTGGTTTCTGAAAACAGAACAGCCTGCTTCTGTGAGCTGTGAGCTCTCTGAAGAACACAAGGTGACTCTGAGTCATTGTCCTTCAGGCCACTGTCACTGCTGTGCAGCATGGTCAGAGCCCTGGAGAGCAAGGAGCCCACAGATCTCACTCCTGCTCCCTGCCTCCCGGTTCCCCTCCAGAGCCCTCAGCATAATTGACGGTGCAGTGATGCATGCTGGGTACTTCTGCTCCCAGACTAGCAGCTCTCTCCCAGTTTGCTGCCGCCAGAGCTCCCAGAAAATGGGCTCCCATAACATTGGCTAGGGTTCCGTGTGTTAGTGCCCAGGCACATGCTGGGTTGGGGGAGTCAGGGACAAGACCCAGAAGAGCAGGCTTCTCCTGTCTGGGAGCTTCCAGGCTTTATACACACATGCACACGCCAGCCTCAGAACCTCATCCCCCATCCACCCCGTCTCCACCTCCCTGAAGACCTTGGTCCCCTCCTGGGGGTAAACTGACCCTGACTCCACAGCTCTTCCCGGCAGCTCTTCCTCTTCCTGCCCCCCGAGGGGCTCCTCTGCCTTCCCAGAAGCCGCCATCGCCCATCCTGAATGCGGAACAGCTCCACTCGGTGCCTGGCTAGGCACCCTCACAGCTCCTCGGCTGCCAACTCGGTCTTCACGCCTCCCAGAGGATCAGCTGTTGGCTGGTGCTGGGGATGGGGGAGACAGAGACAGGGAGAGATGCGGTGCAAGGAAGGGAGAGACCAAGAGCGGAGAGACAGAAGGAGGAAGGCAGAGGCAGAGGCTGGGAAAGAAGGGCAAGAGAGAGCCAGAGTCTCCGTGAAGGGGAAGTGGAGAGGATAAGACAGGTGAGGGAGAGACAGAGAGAAAGGAAAGGCTGGAACAGAAGAAGGTGGCAACCCTGAAGGCGACTCATCTGCCGAAGTCCATTCCTGCCATTGAAAGTGACTGAGACACAAAAACTCGGGTTTTTACACTCCATGCAGAGAAGACAGGGAAGACATGACCTGCAGTGCACCAGAGGAGGGGCTGGGTTTCCAGGGAGGTGGGGGAGCGGGAAGAGCACTTAGGGTTTAGCACATGAGCAGCACAAATACACACCCATGCACACGCACACACACACACAGAGATATATATATACATATACACACGCATGCACACACAGAGATATATACATATACACACACATGCACACACAGATATACATATACACACTCATGCACACACACAGATATATACATATACACACCCATGCACATGCACACACGCACACAGAGATATATACATATACACATGCATGCACACACACAGAGATATACACATATACACACGCATGCACACACAGAGATATATACATATACACACACGCACACACACACACAGAGATATATACATATACACACACATGCACAGAGATATATATATACACACATGCACACACACAGAGATATATACATATACACATGCATGAACACACACAGATATATATACATATAATACACATGCAAACACACACAGATATATATACATATATACATGCATGCACACAGAGATATACGTACATGCACACACACAGATATACATATACACATGCATACACATGGAGAGAAAAAGATATACATATACACGCACATGCACACACAGAGATACACATGCATGCACACAGAGATACATATAAACATATACACACATGCACACACACAGATATACATATACACATGCATACACAGAGAGAAAAAGATATACATATACACACACATGCACACACACAGAGATATACATATACACACACATGCACACAGAGATATCCATATACACATGCATGCACACACAGAAAGATATATATACACACACACATGCACACACAGATATACATATACACATGCATACACAGAGAGAAAAAGATATACATACACACACGCATGCACACACACAGAGATATATATATACACACACATGCACACACAGAGATATACATACATATGCACACAGAGATATACGTATACATATGCATGCACACACAGAAAGATATATATACACACACATGCACAGAGAAAGATATACATATACATACACATGCACACACACAGAGAAAGATATACATATACACACAGAGCCACACACACAGAAAGATATACATATACACCCAGAGGCACAATACAGAGAAAGATATACATATACACACAGAGGCACACACACAGAAAGATATACATATACACACCCAGAGGCACACATACAGAGAAAGATACACATATACACACAGAGGCACACATACAAACATGCATGCAAACATAGACACACACACACAGAGATCTTGTCAGAGATACACATGCAAACTTAGACACACATACACATGCATACAGCACAGACACTCATATGTATCACACATGCAAACACAGACACACGCAGCAACACAGTCACACAGGTTCTTCAGGGACTGAGTGGGTCAGTGGCCCCACTCTGGGGAGGCTCAAACCTGTCTGTAGCCCGGAATGAGGGATCTCTTCTCCTCCAAAGAGTTCACAGAGGCCAGGTCAACCCAGGTTCCCCACTCCCTTTAGAGGGTGTGTCCACGCAGAATGCAGTGTACCCCCAGCCAAACAGTTTCACACCAATCCGAATCCAAGCACCCATCAGGACGGAGCTGTCCCCAAGCCCTTTCATGCAGAGGATAAGGAGGCCCAGATAGGGAAGGGACCTGCCCGGGATCCCACAGCCCAGCTGCTCCAGGCTGGTCCTGGAGCCTGGGCACCTGACCCTTAACCCCATCTGGCTCTGCAGCTCAGGGATTGCAGTGGGAACTGGGCAGGCTGTGGGCACAAGAGGTCCTGCTACTCACACCCCCTCCCAAGAGAAACTTCTTTTCCAAATCCCAGCACAAAGGTCCCAGCCAAGTGGAGCCCCAACCCACTGAACCCCAAGAAGAATACAGCTTGGCCCTCTGTCTTGGCCTGTCTCAGACCAGGCACTCTTTGGGCTGGGTGAGGCTGTCACTGCCAGCAGGGTAGGTGAGTGGGAGGCACACCCATGCACCCAGTCTTGTCCCCCACCAGTCTGGATGAATTCTGCTCTCGGACCAGCTTTAGGGGGATTTTGAGATACAGGGAAGAGGGGCCCCTCTACCCCTAGAGATGGTACAGAAGGGAAGAGGGGGCTCCATGGTGGGAGAGAACCCACCTAGAGGCAGGAAGATGAACAGGGTGGACCACAGAGAAACTGCACAAGAAGCCAGCCCAGAAGACTCAGAAATGCAAACTAACAAGGTCTTTCTGATGTTACTTGTGCTAGGCCTCATGCTGGGAGATGGGGGCAGAGATACTGATGATAACGGCCACCCATTACTGACCACCCACTGACCCAGGCATGCCTGTCATATCTCTTTCGACCCTCACAATGCCTTGTGTAGTGTTACTAACCCATTTTACTGGAGGGAAAACTGAGCCTCAGAGAGGTGAAGAGCCAGGCCTGAAATTCCAACCTGAGCAGCATCAAAGTCCACCTTCTTTCTTCCACACATCTCTGTCTCCCTGTGTGCATAGAGAGACAGACAAAAAAGGAACAGATTAGAGCAGGAATTGCCTTTAAGCAGAGATCACATGTTTGTTGGGAAAAGATTTTCCATAAACTCATGTAGATGTAAGTTTAGCCTCAGCGCCTGGAGCTAGGGATTCAGAAGAAGCCAAGGAGTGCAACGGTAGAATTCCAGGCTCTGAGACCATACTATCTGGACTGTCTCCTGTATCTGCTGCGTCCTGGCTGTGTGACCTCTTCCCTGGTCCCCAAAATTGGAAGAGCAAAAGCTCGTCCTTGCAGATGTCTCGTGAGGTTTAAATGCAGTGATTCTATAAAGTACCTAGGACAGCTCCTGACCCATAACAAGTGCTTAATAAATGGCAGCTACTGGTGTGGCTCAGAGAGATGCTCCTCTGCTTAGCCCAGGGAGGAGGGGGACAGCTGGGGAAGAGTTGGAAAGCAGGAGGGGAGAGGATGGGGAAAGGAGCAGTGAGACAGCACCTGTGATGACGGACCCTCCCCAATGACACCCCCACCGCCGCCACTCAAGTGTGGGCACATCCTGAATGCTTGGTGAGACCAGATTTGTTGTAAAAACCAATGAAGTAGCAGCTGGATCCTTCAGCCCAGTTGGACTCAGAGCACAGGGATTCGAACCAGAGACCTCAAGTCTCCAAGATGTCATAGCCATCCCAGGGAGGGAGTGGGACTTCTCCAAGTCATAGAGACTGGAAAGTTCCTCCAAGTCATATGCAAGAACATGGAAGTACCCAGCTGGCATTTGGGTTATGCAAGCTAGTGAGGTTTGTACAGTGTCAAGGGGTTGGTGTACTAATCACCACAGCTGATACTCGCTACATGCCTGCATTATTCAAAGCATTTTACACACTTGATCTTTCTTAAGCTTCAAAACAATCCTGTGAGGTTGGTATCATTCTTAGTCTTGCTTTATGGGCTGAATCCAGAGAGGTTAAGCAGCCAGCCTGATGTTACGCAGCTAACCACTGGCAAGGCTAGGAGGCAGAAGCAGGAAGTCCAGGTCCAGAGTCTGTATTTTTAGCCACTACTCCTATTACTTCTTGAGGGGAACCAGTGGGAGAGGGCCACACTGGGCTTCCAGGAGAGTGACCCTTGAGCCTGCTTCATCTCAGTTCTGCAGGTGTGGTCACAGCGCAAAGGTGACCCATATTGTAGATGTGATAACCCAGCCAAGACCCCTCATATTCCTGACTCTGGGCTCAGCATCTCTCAGAGGCTTCATCGAGCCCAGAGTCCACACCCCTCCCTACTAGGCATTGATCCATGGGAAGTGACAAGTGCCAGGATTGGGGCAACAGTGCCAACCTCAGCCAAATCTGTCACAGGCCAGCGGCTCTGAACCTACCAGGCACCAACCCTCCAGCCTGAGCCACACTCTCCACTGAACACTTGGCTGACCAAGCCTGGCCCACCTCTCCCAGCACCCCTCTCCTGGCTCCATCCCACTGCTCAGATAATGCCACCATCTGGGACCCATCTGCAGGGAGCCTGCCTGCTTGTTAGAGAGGGGGCATCTTCCATCTGCGTCCTGTGGGAGCATGCTAGGACTCCATAAATCTCAGGTTGGGCAGAACAGCACCTGCCAGCAAAGGGCCAGGGCATGAAACAATCCTGTTGGCCTCCTTCCAGGGAGGACACAGGCCGTGCCACACAGGGTTACTCCAGGCAATCAGAAAGGCAACTCATGTAGTGGAAGGAGCAAGTGCTTTGGAATGGGATCCTTCATTGGAGGGGGCTTCAGGCAAGCTGGTTCAGCGATCTGAGCCAGTTTCTTTATCCATAAGATGGAGATAATATAGCACAGATGTCACTGGAACTCCATCTTAATCATTTGCATATCTTTTACACTTAGAACAGGGCATGGGCAAGACGCTGTGGAATGAGTGGATGCAACCAACCTGATGGCCATTCTGCCTTCCTTCTTGCTAGCAGCACCCCGCTTCAGGCCAGAAGACAATTGTGCCTGATGGCTTTGAACAAGTCATGGCAACCCTGTGTGTCCCTTTGTGGTGATTGGTATGGGCAGGGGTGGTATGTGACCCAGTTCTAGCCAATGGGATATAAGGGAAAGTCTACTAGGAGTTCTGGGACAGATTTCCATCCCTGATCAAAGAAACGAGGTGTGTGAGGAGAGCACGCTTGCTCTTGAAGCTTCCTTCCTGCTGTCAAGACTGCTAAGGAGAGTGAAGGGTTTGGTGTCGAAGTCACCAACTGGCAACTGCTGGTGGAAACACTACCATCATCTGAGGATGGCAGAAGAGAAGGAAAAGAGGATGGATCCTCAATGATATCACAATACACTGGGCTGCCAAATCAGCCCCATGACCGCCTACCATGAAATTTTTAGTTAATTAACAAATAAATGTCCACCAAGTTTGAGCCATTTCTAGTTCTTACGCAGACGCTTGCAACATTCCTGTCTGATACGGTGAAGGAAAGAATAAATGTCGTGTAGCTTGAACAATGCTATGCAAATGTTTGTTATTCTTGACAACATTAATACGGCAACACCTCATTTATTTAGCATTATCAGCAATGGGCTTTGCTCAGAAGGAAAGGTTCAAGATAATTGAAGTTTATCTCCTTTAGGCACCAAAGTATTATTTTGATTTTAACTGACTCTGATTTTTTTAAAGCTGACATATATCACAGCCCCATCTATCTCTCCCCTCTCTCTTTACCTCCCGCCTCCTCCTGCACTCACACCCATACACAGGATGCTGCTGAGAATTCGTTTAACTTGGCTCACCAACAAACGCACGTCACCAAAGTGAAATGAACCTAGCAATTGCCCTGGAGCCCGCAGAGGTGGGGGTGGGGGTGGGGGCGGGTAGGGTTGCACAGTCGTGCTCTGATTTCCAGAGTCATCGCCCCTTCCAGCCATGTCCCATCAAGCTGCCATCACAGAATGACTGCCTCTTAGAACTCTCCCCAGCTTGGACAGATTTCTCAGTTCTGAGCTGTAAAGCCAGACCACCATGCTTGCTAGACTTGTGTCCAAAATGGATTCTTGCAGCAAGCTCTGACCAAGGAACTGCCCTAAGATACCCAGGTGAGGAAAGCCAGGCTTCACCCCAAAGAAGGGATCATTTGCTCACTCAACAAATCGTTACTGAGCACTTACTGATTTAGACAATAGAGGCTGCAAGCCAAAGACCTGAGAGTAAATCCCGGTCCTACTGTTGGCAAGCAGTGTGAACCCAGGCAAGTTACATCCCCTCCCCAAGCCACAGTTACTCTCATACATATAATGGAACTAAAAATAACCCTTCCATATAGGAACGAGGCAAGGAATAAATAAGTTACTGTCCCTAATGCCCTTAGAACAGTGGGTTTTTTTGTTTTGTTTTGTTTTGTTTTGTTTTTGGAGACAGAGTCTTGCTCTTGCTCTGTCGCCCAGGCTGGAGTGCAGTGGTTCGATCTCGGCTCACTGCAGCCTCCGCCTCCCGGATTCAAGTGATTCTCCTGCCTCAGCCTCCCAAGTAGCTGGGATTACATGTGCCCACCACCACACCTGGCTAATTTTTGTGTTCTTAGTAGATAGGGTTTCACCATGTTGACCAGGCTGGTCTCAAACTCTTGACCTCATGATCTGCCCACCTCAGCCTCCCAAAGTGCTGGGATTACAGGTGTGAGCCACGGCGCCTGGCCCCAGAACAGCAGCTTCTGCTCATAAAGGTAAAACAAATGTGAGTGATTGTCACCATCTTTACCACGTGCTGGGCATTTTTCTGTACACCAGAGCAGCAATGGTTAACAAGAACGGCATGACCTCTACCCCAGGAAAGTGCCAGTTAATCAGATAGATGGATGTATTTCTAACACATACGAATATGTACTAATAGGAGAACTTACTCCTTCTTCACCTGCCAGGGAGATGTCAGAAGCCCAAAGGAGGGGCTATACCCCAGAATAGAGGCCAGAGGAGGCTTCCCAGGCATCCAAGCTGGGACTAAAAAGTTAGTATGTACTTAATTTCCTGGAGCTGCCTTAATAAACTGCCCCAAACTGGGTGGCTTATAAGAGATATTTAGTCCATCACCACTCTGGAGACAAGAAATCTTAAGTCAACATGTCAGCAGGACTGTGCTCCCTCTGAAAGCTCGAGGAGGTTTGAGGCCTCTCCTGGCCTCTGGTGGCTGATGGTCTTCCTTATGATCGCATCACCCCAATCCCCACCTTGGCCTTCACGTGGCCTTCTCCCTCCGCTGTGTGTCTGTGTCTTCTTCTGTCTCTTATTAAGACATTTATCAGATTGAGTTTGCCCAGGGAAATCCAGTATGATCAACCTCATCTTAAGATCTGTAACTTGATGACATGTGCAAATACCTTTTTTCTAAATAAGGTCACGTTCACAAGTTCTGCGGGGGGGTGAGGGTGGGCAGGATATGGACATTTCTTTTTAGAGACCATCATTCAATCCACCACGGTGGGGGTGGGCCAGGCAAAGAGAAGCAGGATGTGGGTCTCCATGATAGAACCCTGTGGGAAGTAGAAAACTTCCTTTTTAAAGTTTCCTTTCTTGTTAAAGAATAAATTATAACTGTGCTAATAACTCTGTTAAGCCCTATGCTATGTAGCTGTTAAACATGCCATGCTTACAGGCACGTAGTACACACTACGTCCTTGTACTTTAACCAAGACATCTGTGCTGGACGTGCTCACAGGCATGTCCCAGCTCTCCACTGCATTTACTGATTTAGTAAAGTTTTAAATTGTTAGCCAATTGGGTTTTAGTGTAGATGGTGAGGTCTGGCTTCAGACAACAGAGGTCAGACACAGCAGTAAGGACAACCCCAAATGCGTAAGGGATAAATTTGTGTGTTTCCCTTTGTTCACTGTACTCTTGTGGCATGATAGCTAGCGAGGGTACCCTTCCTGCAGTCCAGGAAGTAAAATTTGTGCTGTTGAAGGATCCTTTGTCTC